GAGGCTCTTGGTCGATTGCAAAGCTGTTCTGCACCTATCGCCCTGGTAGTCCCGAATCCGGGACTGCAGGGTTTCTCCCGTCCAGATTGCCGGGGTGTACGGAATAGTCCATAAGTGAAAAGAGGAAAGGCGAGCTGACAGACACCCCATCGAGGTATGGCCAATACGCCTTCTGAATTGGGCCTTGCTACGTCATCACCCCAATATGCAGCGTGAACTCGATTCCATCACCAGGTGTGTGAACTTCGCGTCGGTCGATGTTGACCTGCATGGTCCCGGCCAAGCTTGACCGCCGCAATCCTACCCTTAGGTCTGATCTGCCACGCGTGTGCAACCAAGGCTCGCGACCCCTGAAAGCTCAACGACGCTGGTCCTAACTTTCATCTTGGGGACCCAGTGCATAGCTGTCCCGGCTTCTGTGGGTCTTGTTGACGGGAGCGTGGAGGTTTGCCAATTGCTCGTCTACTTATCCAACTGGCCAGCCAAGCTCAATCTGGGCCTCCTCCGCTTTTTCTGCATCCTGTCTTGGAAAATTGGGTCAAATTGTCCGGGAAATAGCCATGCATGTGTGAGCTCCCCAGATTCCCTAGGCCCAGTTCCTCAAAGTAGACAATTATCGGTGCGGAAACTCGGGCTGGAGATCATGTGAAAATAGGTGCTGGCCCGGTTACTGAGCGGCTACAGTCAACTCCAAAGGGGGGCCTCCCTTCTTTCTTACATCCCCAACGCAAACTTTTGGCTCACATGGTATATCGATCTCTCATCCACAGCCAGGGGAGCAAGACGGGCGCCGACCGTTCAGCCTGGCCAACAGTTGATTCTAACACCAATCATCCATCCTTGCAGGGTCTTGGGAGCGGCATGAACATTAGCACTTGAGCCAGTGAGCCCTTGAGCCAGTGAGAGTGAGCCATTGAGCAGATGAGCAAATGAGCAGATGAGCAAATGAGCAAATGAGCAAATGAGCAAATGAGCAAATGAGCAAAACGAGCGACAGATCACTGCAGCGCAGGCAGTTGGGACAGGGGTCTGATTTAGGTCATGACTACGCATCTCTCCCATGCAGTCCATTGGCAACGGATCCGGAGTCCAGGGACCGTAACGACGGCGCAACAAAGCAGGAAGACATCCATCACAACACCACGATTTGGTAACTCTGTACCTCCCGCAGCAACTTTTTCTTCGTCCCTAGGGCCAAGCTCTGCGGGACATGCGGTGGGTAGCCAGGCCAAGGTGCCTTGCTGCAGGAGACTTGACCCGTGCACTACACCAGCCTGACGGCGAAATGCCTGTTTAGGAAGGACGAAGCAACACCACGCTTCTTAGCACCTATCTTAACCTTTCCACATGGGCAAGCAAATATTGATGGCTTGTTGTGTCAAACCTGATAAGCTGTATGTCCGTCTTCCGACCAGGCTCAAGGCAACAACTCAGAGCTGAGTCTGCGGCGGGAAATGTAGACTATTATCATTACACAGAAACGATGAATGTGCTCGTGCCAAAATTCTCGTTGTGTTGTTAGTATTCCTGGCTCTTCAGGCGTTGGTGTTACTCACTGGCGACCAGCGTGCCCATTGATTCTTGGATCTGGCAATGACTTTAGCAGCCGCTCGCTAACCTGGGTCTTGAGGTGATGTCGTTGTTGTCAATTGCAGATTCACGGGGAAGCGACCCGAGCCGACCAGGGTCACAGCCAACACCAGAGAGTCAGATGTGGCTGGGTCTCACGTCTTGCGCAGAGGTCGTTGTAGGCGGGTCACTCCAACATGTCGGTGACGGCCACTGTCGGCGCCAGCAAGCGAGGCGCAATCCAGATCCGTTGCCGTAGGGTAGTGAGTGGGAAGATCTGCCATCTCGTTCAGGCTCGGTAGCAGGGGGGAGGGGTCGGATTTTGGAATGGAGGGGGTCAACAACAAATATTTTTAGCGTGAGGAGACGAGAGAATCCAACGGCAGTACTGGAGCTTGGCTGGGCTATAGCGTGAGGAGACAACCCCAAGTCGAATGAGATGTTTTCCGGTCGTTGCAAGGGTCGTTCGTACCCACCCAAGTCTAACCACCGTCCCACACCCCTCGCAGAGGCTGATTGGTGTTGACCGACTTCCAGTCAAATGCAAAGTTTGGTATGGGTGACAAGGGGACTATCATACATGCGAATTTTGGACAGCGGGTGGTCCTTCATGGGGTCCTCCATACTGACCAGCCGAGCGCATTGGTGCTGCAAAAGTAGTTTCCTGCTGCTCATGCAGCTAAATATCATCGTCTTGCTGTCGGAAGGTTGCCTCTTCTTCAGGATCACCTTGGCCTGACTAGAGAAGAGGCGTACCGCGGAGACAACAATGTCGGTCATTGCCATATAAAATCCATCGCCTCCCTCTGGCTTCTTCCATGCTTTTATCAGACAAGCAGAACTGGAACATTCCATCATTGAAGCATTGTGTGATTCCTCTCTCCTCATTCAGTCAAACTCCTCTTGTCCTGCCGTCCCTTCCGAGCCTTGCCCATTTCCAGACCTTACCTTGTTGTCTTTGGTATTTCCCTTTGCCTATCTAAACCACCAAGACCTACCAGCACTCCTTGTTCTCTCAAAGACAACATCGACTGCCCCTCATGGCCAGCGACTCGGCTTCCACTGATACTGGCCGTGTGAATGGCGACTCTGGGTCAGTTAATTACCCTCGGTAAGGCCGAGTCTTGTGTCATATTGATATATCCATAGGTCCGTTAGTCACTCCTCGATGCTCCTGCCTTTCATCTACGACACATCTTCTTTTTCTGATCGCCAAGTCCAAGTTGTCAACGGTGGTGCTACCCGCGCAGCGACCCACGAACCTGACCCCAGCCGTCCCAACACCAATGCGAACATTGATAACAAGAAGACGAAGGACTGCAAGCCTGTGGATAAGTGAATATGTCTCTAGGTTGACCATGGCTCATGGAGAGATGTTTCAGTGTCGAGGGTGGGGAGCAAACTGGCAATGGGGGTTAGAATGACGGGAGACACTTGAGTTTATATCACGACCTACTCTTCACACTCATATAATGTTGACTTTTTTTGGAGTTGGAGTCGACTAGGATCAAATATCTTGGAGTCAATCGAGCGGTAAAGCTCAGAGATCCTCTTCAAGGCGGGTCTGTAGAGTCTAGGATGTACCTCTGGACGCGGTGTAAGTGGAGTGCCACGCGGTGAGCACTCTAGCCTAGCGCAGCCGTGGCCGTCCAACCCAACAGCGACACAAGACAAGCTCGTCCGACTGACGCTTTTCCGTATGAGGAGCATGGTGATGGCCGCGAACTAGAACGAGGATGATAGCAATATAAAAACCACCATTTCTCGCGCTTTACTTTGCTATTTTTTATGGAATGACTTCCCCTCAAGTCATGATTGGATCATTTCATCATTGAAGTATTGTAAGATTTCTCTTCATCGTCTCGTCAGAGTCTAGTCGTGGACAACGCCCAGCCTTCTTCTTCATCTTGATCCCATCAGACCTTCTAGGATACCCTCGTATTTCTTCAACCACTCTTTCTGTCTTTCAGGACTAGCTGGTCTGCGAAATAGCATTGTTTTCGAACCATGACCTCCAACACAGCTCCTGTCAATAGGAACTATGTAGGTGGAGAGGATGTGCTGTCAGTCTATTGCCCCTTCTTGATCAACGGTATCCCATGTTGATCTTCTAGGCCTGTTTCTGACCCCCCGATGCTGATTCGATTCCTCTACGATACTTCTTCCTTCCCGGACATCGTAGCTCAGCTTACTGCCGGGAGCTCCACGCCGGAGCACACGGTCGTATAAAAGCTTGAGACACCAGGACGGATAATTACGCTTAATTAACTCAATAAAGAGTATTCAATTAAAAATATAATTATGAGCTAAATAAGAGATAAGAGGGGGGGGGGGGGGGGGGAATATACTAAATCTTTGAGTATTTTATTAATTATATTTAGGGACTTTTATTTGCCTCGGAAAATGGAGATCGTTGACTCTGTGTCTTATATTTTTCTGCGAACGCGTGGGAGCCCGTCCCGGAAGAAGACGATGGACTCACCACTGAACGCACCGGTTCTGGTGCGACAAAGAAGGGGGAAAGGAACAAACCCGCGGGAAGTTGAACCTATCTCGGGAAACTTTGGTTAGATTATAGCAGATGGAGTAGCTTTTCAATGTCTGAACGGTAATAAATGACACAGCGAACATAATAGAGCCATAAGGCTTAGATTTGGTGCTTCCGGGATGACTGGCCACCGCCTCATTCTACTAGACTACACATGCGGAGGAGAAACAGCTTCGGCAACAGGATTGTTTCTTTTCTGGCCTCTATATTCTTTGGGTTAAAAGGTGAGACCAACAGACTTCGTGTGGGTTGGTCTCAAATTCACAACACCGACAACACGTGAGAGCCAAGGGAGGGCCTTTTTGCGAAACAGTGAGGAATAAGAATGCCTACAGGTGTTGGCATGAACTGGCAGACGCTCGCTTCTATCGCCGTCTCTTTCCCATATCATCTACGTGAGCTTTCAACTCACCAGAACGTGCCATGGAGATTGTGAGAAAGAAGCTCCCCAAGACCCTGAGCGTGACACCCATGGTCAACGACTTGATCACCAAGGGATGGATGAGTGAAGCTTGGCAGTTTTGTATTATGGCAAGTCTCGCTGCGGAGTACAACTGAAGTGAGAGCTGGGCAGCTAACATGGTCTAGGGACAGGCCGCGTGTCGATGCCGGCTTCGCGAGTTGGCTTTTTTCTTGACTGTCTGGCGCGCAATGAGGCTGAGGCAACTTCCAAATGCATCCATCAGGTTGAACACTGATTGCGAACGAGCCCACCGAACTTTCTTGTTTTAGAACATTGCCGCAATGCAGAAATGAAGATGCTCCTAACAAATGTACTTGGGCAAGGATTTTGGTTGTGCCGTTGACAAATCTTTCCACCTACCTACAGCAAGCTGTTCTGGGCTTAGTCCGATTCATTGGCGATTCAGGCATCCATTAACTCTTATTTCCGGAGATGGCTTCCACGATCGCCCACCAAGAAGGGCCGTTGAGCGATGGAGCTACCGCCAAGTGTGGCATCAACTGTGGCAGTCAAGGCGGCAGTCAGGGCGACGGTCAGGGTGACGGTCAGGGTGGCAGTCAGGGTGGCAGTCAGGGTGACAGTCAGGGTGGCAGTCAGGGTGGCAACCGGGTTGGTAGTTAGGCGGTAGGCGTGGGGGGGTTTACAGCTCCACGACCCTGCCTGTCTTAAAGTGCCCAGGGTCACAAGCAGCATGATGGGACTGGGGAAGGTCGGGTGGTCGGACGGTCCATTCTCTGTTCTGTAGAGTAGTGGTGATTGTTGAGCGGTCGGGTTGATAGCGGTACCTTTACCGCGCCTTCTTTGACCACCCAAGCAATCCAACGGAAATAACTGTGACCTGAATCAGTGCCCCCCTGTCGGTACTGATAGCGGAAGTCTTCCACACTCTTTTGAGCCTCAACTGCGGAACTGACCGATGTCGCATCGACGTCAACGCAGGGATTCTGGGTATCTCCCCACACTACTTGTGCGAAAATCTGGAAATACTCACGATTTGACCACAAACTCGTCATGATGCCAGCACGGCGTCGAGTTGGATCAGGTGCTCTGCGAAACCGATCAGACTGACCATAGGTCGTGAACGAGTCACCTCCGAAACATTGTTATGATGTGGGAATGGGGATATCTCCAATGAATACTCAAGAAAGCGTCTTGCTTGTGTCGTGGAGGCCCCTCTCACCAGCAAGTATTTCATGCATCGACACTCCCCACCGGTGACCAACGTACCCATAGATTGGGTCTGGGGATGGCCGAGCTAGAAGTGTGTACTTCTGGGGAGACTCTGTGGCCCCTTTCGCCTCACTAGAGGCGGCCGGGGGTCATGCCCAACACGCTGGATTCTGAGGCGAGCCGATCCCACATTCTATGTGCGTCCTCCAGGCTTACCCTTTGTCTCCGGGCTTCTCAGCCTTGTTTCTTAATACTAGCGACACGTCCCTCGGCGAGGGTGTGCTGTGCTGCAGCGTTTTCTTGGAGTTTCTCTCTTGCAGACGCTCAACTTGATTTAGCAAGTGCCGAGGTGTTCACGTCGAGCCAACAAAGATGATCATTGATATAAATCTGTCACCCCCGTTGGTTTTCTTCCCTTCGCTCACCAGACAAGAGCAACCGTAGTATTTCATCATTGAGCACTCATGCGGTTCCTGTCTCTTCATTCAATTAGACCCTGAACGTCTTGCCCTCCCCAAGTCTTATCCTTTTCCACACCTTACTGAGCCTTCTCGGATATTCTCCTTGCCCTCCTAACTATTTCCTACCTTCCGTCTTCCGTCTTCCATTGCAAGATAAAATTGATTCCCAATCATGGCCGTCGATTCACATTCTTCGACCACGAGCTTCGGGGTCGGTGACTTGCCGTTAGTCCAGTCCATTACCTTATTGAGGCCGCACTTTGCCTCGTACTAACCCATTCACAGTTCTGTCACTCACCCCTCAATGCTTTTGTCATTCATCCACGATACCTCCTCCTTTTCCGATCGACAAGTACAAGTTGCCAACACCGCCGCCTGCGTGTCGACCATCATGAAGGGCAACGGAGCTGCCCCGTGTTGTCCCAACACCTCGACGAACCATTACACGGAAGGGCAAGGGGCTCATAAGTCTACAGACAAATAATTGCACTCAACGTATACTCCAGTTGGGTCATGGCTCCTGAAGGCTTCTTTTAATGTTGGTGGCGGGGAGAAGCCTCAAGTCAGAGGCACTTGAGTTTGTCCGAGTAGCTATTTTTATCTTCATCAAACATTAAACTTTCCTGGATCTGTGAAACGGCAATCATTCTCATCAATTGGAAATCCGTGGGCTCATGGACTTTGTGTACCTGAGCTGCATGTAAACAACGAGTGTCCTAAAGTTTTGCGACTCGCAAGCCTGAGCATGATAACTCTCATGTGCCATTCCCTACTTGAGTCTATCAAACACTCGTCACCTCTGTTCACTTTCCTTGAAGCCTTGCCTCTCAACCCCAGGTCTCTTGTGGATATTCCCCTCGCCTTATTCACTCCTGCATACATCTTACTGGGCCTTCTCTGAGCTTAGTAGAGTTTAAGTTAGCTTTACAGTTGTGTGCGATTATCTATGTTGCTCACCCACATCCTAAGCTTTGGCCATGCTCAACCAGACAATAAGCCGCACTCCTGAGAAAATGGTGGAGTGATGCCATACCTTCGGGATGTACCTCCAGGGGCTGTATTGGCCCGCTGGCAGTTGCTAACTACGCATGGCGTCTCCGAAGAGCATGGATGATTTGATTTATAGCTCGATGCTCGAAGGAAGGGGTTGGGGTATGATCGTGCTCCGGTATGTAAACCTTTTGGTCACAAGCAAGGGCGCATATGTACACCGACTCCACGTATGGCTTACGCATACTAGCAAGACACAGTTTCATCACTGAGATTGTTTCATTTATACTCTCGTGCGGGTGGCGACAAAAAGCGACACTGATACGAAAGTGCCGGCTTCTTTCCACGGGTAACTATACAAAGCACATAAAATTGGTGGAATGGAATATAAAAGATCAAGTATACCTGGTTCCGTTGTTGTTGGGATAGCTCTCTTGCTGTCCGAGTATCCTTGTGAAATAAGTTTCATGATATGGATCTGAGGACAGTTTTCGTGGCCGACACACGTTGATGGCTCACACCGCAATCCCGACCCCTCTCATCTCATCTACACCGTGATGGGTAAACTCTTGGTGTTCACAAGGATGAGTACTATACCCGGCTAGTGGGATCCCTGCGGGCACTTCGAGTTGCGTCTACTACGAGGCATCCGCAGTGCCGTCCCAGCATTCGTCAGCACACCGAGCCTGATTCAGGTCGGTATCCTGCATTTGGTCCAAAGTTTGGGTTCTTGAGGCGGCCAGCCATGGTCACGAGTCTTGAACCATGGTTGTAGGGCATGGATTCAGTGTTCCGGATTGATGAATTAGCTCCTAGATTGCCCGCATCATCCATCACCTGGTGTATCCTGTCAGCCCTGCTCAATAGTATCGTCGCGATATTTGAACATGCCGCGCGATTCAGTCCCGCCAGCATTCGTCATGGTCCTGCCTTAGGTGGAAGGAGGAAACGCGCCGGGAGACGCACGAGGCTATCAACAGCTACACTACATGTGGCAGAAATCATTCATGCAAGTCATGTCACACACACACCCAGGAGACATGGCTATGTGCACGCCTCCAACGGCAACCAACTGACAAGCGGTAAACGGGCCGCCCTTAGCTCCCCACCATGTCTCCAACGGCGACAAAGAGTTCCATATTGGGGAATCCTACAAAGCGGCCGTTGCTGCCGGCGGCTGAACAGTATGTGGAGGCTGTTAAACTCTAATATATACGCGAGCTGATCTTGGCTTCTCGAGACGAGCGGGGCCACGCCCAGCCTTACTTTTCCAGTCTCGATGGAATCCTGCCCTCGCCATCCTGTCAAACCGAACAGATGACGAGAAATCCTTATTGATATAGCTGATTCAGTAGCACTGAAGCTGTACCTTTGATGCCTATAGCCTAGGACATCCAGGGATTGGAGGTGCCTCATCTCGTGGAAGGAGGACCTGCGCCTATGTATACGCGCGAAGAACAAGTATAGTGACAATGCGAAATTAATCCTCACGCTTCGCTTTCATGTCTTTTGGAAGAGCTCCTAGGAGTGTGATTAGAATACATCATCATTGAAGGATTGCAAGGCTTCTCTTCACCTAGGTCGTCAGAGTTCCATCGTGCCAAGGCCTACCTTAGGTCAACAATGCAACACACCGCCAATTGCTTCCCGTCTCTGGGAAAGCTTTCGTCTTTCAGCCTTAGTTACAAATAAATACCCCCTACGCGCAATTGCGATGGCCGAGGCAGCACAGCGTCCAGGGTCAAGTCTTCCGCACAAACAACCTGCCGCAGCCTATCTATACCTCGTGGCTTGCTGGCACAACTCCCACCTTCCTTGCAGGGAAGCAAGGAGAACAAAAACAAAATCTCCCTTAGCGCATTAGCAGGGTGTATTTTAAGGATTGGTCAGCAAATGAGCCGTAGCGTTCGGTTGTGGTGCTCCCAGGATGGCTAAAAAGTACCTCGCCTTGCTTGACTGCCTCACACTCCCATCTGACACTTCTGTCAAGGGATGTCAGGTTCTCAAGGTACTCGGCTTCAACTTTCACAGCGTCGTGCTTTTGGTAGATCAAAGAGACACAGATGTGGTTCATGGAGCTCGCGACTTTTAAAGACCTGATGCACAATGCATATTAGTCTACCTTTATAAGGATAGAACACTGACCAACACCATACACAGACGAAAAGTTCTTAGGACGGATTAATGAGAAGCACTCATCCATTTTGAGGCAAATAGTTCCCCAGAAACGACTAGGACCGGTGAAGCAATCAGTGCGCAGCCTGGTAATGCTCCTTGCCTAAAGCAACCCTGCCCTCACCTGATCCAGAAAACTCACGTGTGAGCAGGGACACACGGCTAGGAAGTGCTCAATCGAAAAGGCTGCATGGGGATAGGAAATGCATCAGATGGGGCTGACACACATCATTTTGTCGAGAGGAAGACCCAGGTCCCCGGACTACGGACCCGTGCATCCGACAGGGGGGCTCGATCGGGATCAGGGAGAAAAAAGACATATCATAAACGCGATTGGAGATTATGCACTTCATTAGTTGATCTACACTATCCATGGAGGCTACTCGATGTCACCACCCACAGTCGGGTGCGGAGGATGATATGAGATGGACGTCACGTTGCAACGAGCACTCGTATTTGTCATTTTCAGTGAAGCAATGACTCCGAATCCTTGCATAACAGACACTAGAGTTCGGTTGAGGTTGGTGCTGAAGCAGCTCTCACTTCACTCTACCACATCGTCATGTATATGTTGCCGGCCAAGTGCTCAGCACCCGTTGCTTATCGCCCGGCCAGCGACATACCTTCAGATGAGGCAAAGGGACAGACCTGACATGACGTATGATCCTGACATGCAGGTGGTCCGCCTTCACAGACCAGCGAAGGTGGAGGGGGTGCTTCAGGACAACCCGCGGGAAACAAAAGAGGCACTGCGCTCAGTATCTCAGAGACCCTGAAGCCATTTTTCGTCTGTACGGTTAAGAATCGGATCGTTCATTCCAGGGTTGCCTCTGGTTTGGTTGGTGAGTGTGCAAGTCGCCTTATTGTGAATGGGAAGCTTCAGGGTAGGCTCATCTCACTTCATGTTCAAAGCCTGGACAGGCTGACTGACCTCTTAAATCGGTTGAAGGTAACAATTTGTCTCCCTTCGTCTCTACATTGTTTACATTCGGCCCAACTTATTCATTTCTCACTTCTGTTCTTGCTTTGTTGTTGCGGCCTCCTACATATTTTGAGACATGTCCCCCTTTGAACATGAACATGTGAGTAGGAGGTCCCCGCTTGGACTGATGCCCCCGGTGCCAGCTTACATTTTGTTGGTTGCGAGAGGGAACCGTCGGCACTGTCAAAGTTAGCTAGAAGAACTGACGCGGGGAGAGTACTTGAGTAGGTAGGTAGTATAGACTTTACCAAGCTGTCATAGACAGGTCCAAAGGAGCGCCTCTTTGCGGAACAGGGTTAATAATAAACATTACGTGTGCTAGTACTCGTCGATGCTCGCTCCCATTACTATCTCTTCCTCATATCCTCTACGTGAGCCTTCAACTCACAGACAGGCCGTGTGTCGATGCCGGCACCAACACAAACAAGCTCCCCTGCCGTCGCGGGAGCTTGACAGGCGACCCGAACTGACTATCCATCTAGCGTCATCTTTAGCGTCAAGAATGACACTTCACACGTAGCAGGGAATCATGGTCCATTCCCAAAGCGGCTGGGGCCACAACTAGCACAACAGTTGAGAAGGCTGGGTGGCCGGATGACACATCGTCTGTTCTGTAGAGTTGAGATGCCAGCGATGTGATATCAGTTAGTTATGGTTGTTCAACAGTCGGATTCCATGATAGCAGTGCTTTGCGGAGAGAAAGTACGAAGTACCGCAACTTTCATGGAGTACTGTCTCCCTCCCGATTTATACTTTTTCTCAGATGCCCAATATGTATGATATTCGACTTTCACTTTGGAAATTATGTGTTATCGGTAGATCAACGAGATGTCAATGAGTGTCATGGAACTCGCAGCATTCGGATTATCTGTTCATAGGTAACTGGGAGACATGAGCCCTGACGCTTGCCAACATCATGCAGCCGACTGAGCCTAGCCAAACAAACTGTCCAAGAACCCCCCTTGATTCCACCGCCCACTCTCGAGTGTTGATGATGGGGAGAGGCGAGATCAGTCCGGATCAAGAGGGAGGCTTATCCAGATATAATAGACCCTGCTTGGTATTGACAGCGTTGTGCCTGGTCCTAGAAGCAACCCAGAGCTATTGCACCACGTAATATCCTCCTTAACAGCTCCGTAGGTCAATGTTATCGTGACTTTCTCAGTGGTTGGGATAGTAGGTACGAGGATGCAGAGCCATCCATTAGGAACCCTCATTGCACCAGACTCGTGCCGAAAGTAAAATTGGTTCCCATGAGCAAGCCCTGAGCTTAGGATATTCGATTTCACCTCATTCGTTAGTTTTCTTCTTGACTTCGCTGGTGAAAGGCGACGTACTAATTTACTGTAGATGTGCTTAGCAACGATGCTGAGCCGCGGAGACCAGCGAAATCTAAAAAGAACTACACTGCGCATGTCTGGTTGACGAACACAGTTATCCTGGTCCTCTCCTGCTAAAGCTGCTTCTTTCTGGATGCCCTCTGGGATATCAAATACCTTGTAGCCGGTAATGCGGTTAGGGGTGGTAAAGATGACCTCTGTGTTGAGGTACTCAAGCAGATTAACATCACCGTCAAACCAGACATCCAGGACGGTATTATAGAGGCCCTTTCTTACGGAATGAGAATCTGGGGGGACGCGCGACAGTGTCTTTCTGTTTTCCAGGGCCTCGGCTAGCCTGAGGTGCTCAGACTTCGAAAGAGCACCGACATTGAGGGCCCCGTGGGCTTGTTCGTAGCTATTATAATAAGCCAGACTGTACTTGAGGGGAGGGGAAACATACGTGTATTGCTGAGGGTATCGAAGTACGATTAAGTCTGGCGGGGAGAGAGGAAAATACGCTTGCTCCTCAGATACTATCGTGCTTGTCGGGAAGCATGACTTGAACCTGTCTTTGTCCTGCCTGAAGTACTTGAGTAGGCTTATTTTGAGAGGTGCTAATCATTAGCCCTTAAGCAACCAACAAGTGCTCTTTTTGCTTACCATAAAGCAACATAATCTCAAAGACGCGGTGCTGCAAGATGGGATATAACTCATCCATCGAGGATATTATATCTTGCACCACAGACATATTGCGGTCGATAGTAAGTTCAGAGAGGTGCTCGTTATGAACACGACCCCGATATTTGCTATACTTGGCCTCATCTCCGCAATATCGACCTACGCAACAGGAAGCGAGATGCAAAAACTTCCGCAAGTCCTCGGGTAGTGATGGATCGTCCTTGATTATGGCTGATACCTTTGCGTGGATCTCTTCTGGGGTTGAGAAGCCGTGTCTTTCCCTTGCTTCTCGCCACTGGTCCTCGTCTTGGGGAATACATTCGCGAAGTCTTGTGAATGCCGCTTGCCGTGGATCCTGGGATTCCGAGACCGAGCGCAGGACTCCGGACTGAGACCAGTTGGTGGATCCCTGTCCCGAGCCGGTTGATGTTTGCTGTCGCCCGCTCATCGCTTCAAAGCTGCGCAGACCGAGTGCTTCAACAATGTTGGGAAGAGTAAGAACAAGTTTACGTGACGCGGAGAGCGATAAAGACAGGCCGTTGGTGGTTCAATGCGCATCAGCGATTAGACGGGGGGTTGTGAGCACAAAGAAAAGAATCTTTCCTAAAATGGCCGAATAACGGGGCGGCTGCAAGGATGGTTGGTTGATGGTGCCGTGAGCGCATCTCGCGCGTCCATCACCCTCTCGTGGGTCACGGATCGGCGGAGCGAGCTCAAGCCTTACCTTGATAATAGGAATAGTGGATCGATGCTGGGTGTCCTCGCTCAGTAGATACTGTAGCTTATCGATAAGAACGTACCTTCGACTCAGTGTAAGATGATTGGCCAATCACCCCCATCAGCATTAAAATCACACCACACGGGTCAGGAACCTACCAACTTCTTCCCAGATGTTGGGTGTGGACTACCGGATCCCGAGCCCATAACAAGCTGTATTTTGATGAGCCCTTCCCCGCACGACATGCTGTTCCCTTGCTTAATGACCTCAGAGCCTGAAGGCAACCGTCCTCAGATGACACAGTCGTGCGAACCACGATGGCCGAGGCCAGTATAAAGTCATGCCGAATCGCACAACTTGGCCGTGTATTTTGACAGAACCACGAGCAAGTTGGACCAGAGCATCTCATTATTTGGGCGTTGCAAGATCCCCTTCATCCAACCCGAGCACCATTGTCCCGAAATCCTACCCCTCTCCACTTTTCTAGACCATCAAGTCTTGTTGGACATGCCTCCTCCCACCCAATCCCTACCTTCAAGGACTTGTTGTTCTGCGGAACAAGACCCGTTGCTCCTCATGGTAGCTTCCACAGACACGGACGAAAAGAAGAAGAAGAAAAAGGACATGATGTTGGTTCATGACCCTTGGCACAAGCAAGGCTTCTGGCCCGCTGACCTTCCAACAGCCCTAACGCATACACAATGCTCCTGCCATTTCTCTACGACACGTCTTCTTTTTCTGACCGCCAAGTTCAAATCTCAATCGCTGCAACGACCCAGCCGGCCCTTGAGAAAGGATAACGAGCCCACTCCTCACCAAGCCAATGTCGTTAAGGCCGAGAAGGCACACGGCAAGTTCGTGTCCAAGTGATTCTACCCTATACACATGCTGACTTGCGTATGGCAATAGGGTGGCCTTTCAGAACCTGTGGAGCTAAGGCGGCTGGGGACAAAGTAAAAAGGTGCAAGCTGCTGAGTATACTTGAGTTTGTTCACGAGCATGCATACATTTGGGGTATTACTATTATTATTTGAGCCAGATGGAAATGGTAGCGACTGGCCCTCATTATCACACAGGTAGACAGTCCAAATCCTTGATGAACCAATAATTAGGCGAGCGTCCGAAGAGAAGCCCTTCACTTCTGTGTGCCGTTGAAGGGACCGTTGAGTCTCTGTTGCGGTTTGACCCGGTAAGGAGTCTCGCTGTCTTCTTTGCTCCAAGGGCAAGACGCGAGACTTACAGTGTGTGATTCGCTCCTTTTGTTCGCCAGGCTGCTGGGATTTCGTCATCTTTCCTCTCTCGGAGCCCAAGGGCAATGTCCCCCGGTCATCATTCTCATGGCTTATGCCCCAAACTGTCCTCGGCTTCTCACGCCGTTTGACACTTGATAGAAAGAGCAGGGGTATATCCCCACCAGCGCCAGGTTCGCCCTTACTGGTGCTGATGAAGATGGTGTGATGGAGGAAGACACTTGAAGCTCAAGTGGTCTGGATAGTTCCCCTCGGATTGGCCCATATCTGTCTTTTGCATCAATTCGCCCGGATGACGATTTTGATTCGGTCCGCTGCAAGAGACGATCGTCGGCATTGTCAAAGCTCACTCGAAGAACCGACGCTGGAGACAAAGCGAGAGTAATAGTCCGGCGCGGGCTCTGTTGAGCAGCCATATGCGGGCTTAAAAGAGCGCCTCGCTGCAGAACAGGACGAATAACGGTATTGAAACACAGGTTGAGGAGAGGATGTAAGACTCCACTGTCCTCTGAATGTGGGAGCAGTTCCACTAGTAAGTGTGAGGCTCCACTGTGCTGTGAATGTGGGAGCAGCTCCAGTAAAGAATGTAATGGAGGCTCCCGTCTATCAAGGGGCCAGTACAGGGCACATCCAATGGATGAAGGGTGTGTGTACGTACCAGAGGCGTGTAAACATGTATACCTAATCCCTGGTATCCATCAAGCTTAGCTGCTGTAATCGTATTCAGGAACCGATGGGATCGGTGTCAGTCCTTCCATCCATCTTGAGACGACCTTTTTGCGTGGTGACATTGGATGCTTAGCTATCCTTAATCTGGAAACCCGACCCTCGGCGGACCCCGTAAAGTTCTGAACAAGATGGATGACTTTCAGGTATCCATCGCGGCGATTGACGAGTCGTCGGTGTTGGGCTTTTCAGGTTTCGAAACGACGTCTCTGCTGCGCTCGGGCCAGCAGGGGCCGTTGTCGGGTCTTGGCGTCGGGTACTTTCCAGGGCAGCGCCTTAGAGCGCGTCAATCTTAGCGTACCTTCTTAGCGAACCCACGCTAAGATTGAGGTACAGCAACCAAGGTTCTCGGGGAGCTCTTAGCGTCCGGGCAGACTGGGGAGGCGAGTCCTGGGCATATGCCCAAGAAATACCCAGGAAATAATCCTGCATTACGGAGCACATGGGCAGGTTTCCTGGGTGCCGGCTTGGATTCTGTTGTAGCGACAACCGCTGACATGCTCAAAGTCGGTTCCACAAACCGATGCTTGAAATAGAGTTAGAATTACGGGCCGCACTGAGCGGCCATGGTCAGCTCTGAGAGCGCGCCTCTTTGCGGAATAGGGATGAATGAGAATATCTGTGCGTGCTGACTCTGAACGGCGCTCACGTTACGTCCTTTCTTCCTTGCATAGATTGCCTACGTGAGCCCTCAGTTCGCATTGTCGGAACCGTACCGGGCACGGTTGCTGACACTGACAAGAGCAAAGCAGGACCCCACGTCTATGGTCGCGGAAGCTTGGCGAGCGGGCCGACCTGTCATTTTGCATCGTTGCTGCTTTCTTTTTTCTTCATTGTCCGGAATTCTCTCGACAAAGTTCAATATCTCGCCATCTGCAACCAGGGTAGGAGCGATACACGCGGTGCAGGGTTGCTTTGCCCTGTGGGGGCTCCTTGGGATCCTTTGTCTCTCTCCGTCCCTCTGTTCTCGCTAGTCCCTCTTGTCCCTCTCTCGAGGAGAATGTGGCACGGGAGCCGGTCCCATGGACGTCGCATTGGCGTCGATGAGGGCCGGAGCTACGGAATAGCGTTACTTGGTTTAGAGTCCAGCGGGAAGTTAGGCTGGACCAGGTCCCGAAATGGATTATTGAGCAAGGATCGCCACTGCCAGACTCACGACAAAACACAGCTGGGCACAACAGGAAATTTCCTGGCCCATGCCAAAGCCTTTGGTGACCATCTGCCATTGTAAAAGAGTCGCTTAATTCGATTGGGGAGACAGTCGCTCACTGGACCATTCGAGTAGACTTTATTTGAGCCGTTGACAAGGGACCAGCTCGCAAGCAATCGACCCCAGCGTTGACCTTATTCAAGGGCGAGTGACGTACCCATCAACTCTGAGGTCTGTTGATGACCTCAACGCTCGCTCGCCCACCTGTGCCTGCTCCATAGGAAAGTTATCAGGGGTGCATTCTGCTGACCGCCAGGTCACCGAACAACGGTAGGTTAGGCTGGAAACCACGCGAGCCGCCTAGTTCCAAGCGGGATTGGAGACAAGAGGGCCCTGTCATTGGTTTATTTCTTGCATTTCTTTTTTTTTTTTTTTCGGTTGCCTCATGGTCATGTCCCTGTCGACAATCGTCGACTCTTGGCAAGCTTAGCAGTCCTGTTTGTCTCGCCCCTGCAGCCGAGCCACAATCGATACAATGGATTGGGATGTACTCCATAAGTTGACCGGAACGTCGTCGTCGTCGCGCGTCAGTGATCGCTGTGGAGTGCCGACAAGCAGCGGGGCGCCTGAAGCGAGGGTGTGCCACGCAGCCACGACCAGGACCGTCACCAACGACATTGGGAGATCTACCGCCTCGTCCTGATGGAGAGCAATTCCCTGACCCGGCAGTGGTCAGACGCAAAAATTAAAATACGTACTCGTAGCAAGACGCGACTTTTGGAAGTGATGACCAGGAAGGTGGAGGCAGGAAGTGCACCGACACCATAGTAGCAAGTGGAGGGAGGAAGTGCAACGAAGCCGCCATAGTAGAAGGTGGAGGGAGGAAGTGCACCTACGCCATAGTAGAAGGTGGAGGGAGGAAGTGCAACGAAGCCGCCATAGTAGAAGATGGAGGGAGGAAGTGCACCTACGCCATAGTAGAAGGTGGAGGGAGGAAGTGCAACGAAGCCATAGCAGAAGGTGGAGGGAGGAAGTACAATAGGGGACTTGAATGTTTGTCGGTGTGGAACCAGCGAGTGGGGGCCTAGCAGTACTTCATCAATATCTCAGCATCTAGAGAGAGAGAAAAGAATATAATAATCTAGATAGATAGAAAGTATTATATATGAACTTTCTAGATATTTTTTAATAATCTTTTCGCCTTTTTCGTTAAGAAATTATAGCCTTCTGAACTTTGGTGGCGCTGACCTGCTTCGTACTGATTAGACAAAAATACAGGGGTTGGATTGTATATAAAATTAGGGGGTGTGGATCATCGAGTCGAGGCCCGTGGGGGGGGTATGCGAATTTTGGCCTCCAAGCAGAGCCATAGTGTCAGACACGAATTTTGGGATGCTTTTCGGCCGGTAGTGGCAGAAACCGGGCCAGCCAGATAGGCACAAGCAAAGAGATCCCTACGACTTGTCCAAACGTATCCAAATGACGGCCCCCTTGTCGCGCTGCAGGGCTTGGAGGTTGCCTTCTCTCCGGTCCGCGATCTGTCTGTTGTAGACAAGGCGGAAACAAGACAGTAATGGCAGTCGTCTTGATATAAAGTCGTCACATCTTACTCTCTTTCCGGACCTCTCCCAGCTCTGAAGGACCACAGACAAGCTGAATTGAAGCGTTCCATCCCACGAGCGTTGCCTAGTTCCTCTCTCTTCATTCAGTCAGACCCCATCATCCCACTCTACCAAGTCTTACCCATCCCAAGCCTTACCAAACTTTCTTTGACTCTATTCAATCTTTCAACTCAACTACAACCCCCTAAGACTCTCTATTCTGAGAGACAATAGTTATTGCCCCTCATGGTTGTCGACTCAGCTTCCACTGATGCTGGTGGTGCGAATGGCAACTTGTCGTCAGTTCATTCTTCTTGACAAGACCAAACCTTGTCTCATATTGACTCACATTAACTCATTTATAGGCATGTCGGAAACTTCTCGATGCTTCTGCCGTTCCTTCACGACACGTCTTCCTTTTCTGATCGTCAAGTCCAAATTGCCATTCGCACCACCAACCCACCGGCCCCTACAGAGGGCCACGAACCTACACCCAGCCGTCCCAACGCCGATACGACCGAACATACCGATTCAAAGGAGGGCGACAAGCCCGTTGACAAGTAATTATATCTAGAGTTTACTCTAGGCGAGTCATGGTTCAAAGACCCGGGTGTCAACGTCGGGGAGCGGGGCACAAATGCGGCAGGCCAGAACGGCTGAAGACACTTGAGTTTATACCAATAGCTACATCTTTGCATTCATCCAATATTGACCCTATAAGATATGTGACACCCGGCTCTGACAGCCACGTCCAGGGATGCGATTGAGAGACGGTGTTGTGGACATGGGTTGCGGGCATAGCTGGTTCAGGCACGTAGACACGAGGTGATTTCTTGCCGCTGAGGGGGGATGAAGAAAACAGGTAGAGGATGTGCAGGAGAAAGGAGGACATCGAAGAGAATAGGCTTAATAAATGAGATGTACAAGAGGAGAGAAGATGAAATGCTGAGGAAAAAAAAAGAGTGGATGTAAGTGCTGAATGGTGTCGGGTCGCACGCTCAAGAAACAAAAGCCGGTGGTGGACCACATACTCTTTTCGGTCTTCCTGCTCGCAAGCCACCGTTTGAGTGGGACCGTCTCTAGGAGTTCTGTTCGTTATTATCCGCAAACCAGCAGCGATATATACTGGCATAAGGTGGTCGGCAAAGGATGCGCCTGCTCGGCATTCCCTCGCTTGTACACGGCAGCCATCTTGTCCTCTCTCACGTCGGAGTCAGAATCTCTCGCGTCTGTAAGGGCGATGTCAAAGCTCGCGATATAGGTAAGAGGCTCTGTCTTGCTCTTGAGGTTGGAGTACATGTCTCAGGTTGTGCACCCTGAAAGACATTCCTTCGAAAAATATCCGTGCGGGTCCCATGTGTTGGAAAGTTTGGAGCTCGAGATGGGCGAAGAACTCTTGCACAGGGATTGCTGAACGGATCATGGCCACTCGTATGCTGCACACGAATGAGAGGTGCATGAATCAAGCAATCACTGAGCCGCACTTCCTTCCAGCTCGTCCGCTCGAGGGAATCATGCGTTCTTTCAGCAAGACCCAGTTCAGGCGGGGCTCCGTAACTAGCTGCCGCGCGCCGTTCGGGACGGGCTCGATCTCCGCGCTCGCTTACATCCGCCCGACTTGTGGGGTTGCACTCACTTGGAGACAAAGATCGCCTGGAGGTACGTATACACCCATGCGTGTCAGAACATTGACATGGAAGACATGGAAGCTTATGTTGGGAAAACTAGAGAAGGTCCTCTTGACGCCTGGTACTTGAAGAGAACCGGCAACTTGGCTCTAAGATTACCGGGATCATTGGATAATACATAGACCGCGGCGATATTAGCTCGGCAGGCGGCGTATGGGTCTCTGATCCCTTTACCGGCAATCCGAGGTTTGAGCACCTGTCGCGATCCAATCCCCCTCACGACATAGCGGCTTTCACACCGTTGTGAAGATAGAGAGGGGAGATGGGAGACAGGTGAAATTGCAGGGATTATGGATAGAAGGGAAAGAACTGATGTGAAATTGCCGGGATTACGGAGGAGATGGGCAATTGACAGGGAATAAATATCTGCTGGACATCTACGGATCTATCAGGTCAAGAAAAGGTGGTCTTGCCTACAGCTCCACTCCAGCTGTGTCAACCGACCTCATGGAAAACGGCATGCGAGAGGGCCTGTTCCGGTTCAATCACAGTGCAATCATAGGTCAGGAAATGGATCAATCAATCAAGTTTGCAGGCCCCTCGACTTGCCGAGTCAGACGTGGAGCCGGAAGGTTCACCCCATGCTGAGGCAGAACCTGAGCCACCTGCTCGGGAGATGCACCTCGCTTCATACGACCGGCCAGTTGCTTCGGATGGGGGAACAAGGCGGGCTATTGCTCAGTACATACATCCCACGATCTCTTATCCCGGGATACTACACGGCCGGCACTAAGCGGGCGCGTCCCATAGAGCAGAGAAGAACCAGCCACCCTGCGCCCGTCTTGCCCCTTGATCAGGGTGCTAGGCCAGCTCTTCGACCAATCTCGATAGAGTCAATTGTGCTGGAGTGGATGCAATCACAAACAACATCATTGAGTAACAACTATGTGGATAGATGGGCTGGCTATTGCTTTCTCATGTTTTTGTCGCATCTAAATCTGTTTCTTGCGTCACACATTTGTGACCTCGCCGAAACAAGCCTTGCGTTTTTCTAACGGCGGTGCAGCTGCATGACTGTCGGTCTTTGGGCACACCTGACAGGAAAGACGTTTCAGGCACGGAATTTGGGGGGATGGGCAAGCCACATCGGATTATTACCTCTAGTCTCCAATTGTCTGAACCGAGACATTTGCGTCGTGCTCTAATTCATCAAACCGTCATCTTTACTTCAGTTGATTGCATGACCAGACCACAACCATCAAGCTTGTAGGAGCAAGCCTCCGATGGAAGCTGCAGATTGGAAGCATTAGATACTTACCGTATCGACTCAGCATATCTGGTAGGAACTGCTGATCCCCTCAGACCTGCTCTATGTCTCTTCACTGACTTGCAGAACGTATGGGGCACTGTTATCGTCCTGAAAGGGTTATTTTGCTGATGTGTCAACGAGATATGGACGGGTACCGTAGAGCTCACGGCAAAAGGATCACTTGTGTGCAATGCCATCCAAGTGTCACTGGAGCACTTCCGAAACTATTCTGAGACATTAAATTCTTGCAGAGGATAGAGATTGGGAGCCGAGGGCGGCAAGTTCAAGGAAAACGGTTCGCGGGATACGGCTAAGGTCGAGGCAATCAATCATTCCCCAAACCCGCCTGTGAAAGAGATGCTTGCCGTCAACAAAAGTTTCATCTGGAGACGAGCAAGCATGTAATCCAAGCAAAAATGTTTCAGTGGCTGACACGAACAGTTGGCCAAGTCACTGTGAAATGGATTTGAAACAGGGCCTACCGCTACCTATTTTAACGTCATCTTTGGCGCCAAGGATGAGCATACACGCATACGCGCCTGGCAGGGATTCTTGGCCCTGCCTCGGAGACATCGACTGGGCCACAACTAATGGAAGCTTCCAGGCTCCGTAATCGCAGCTGGGCTAGGTTCAGCGCGCTCAAGTTGCAAGCCTCTCGCTGATCGATATACATTAGGTCTGGGACGAAAAGAGATACATGCAAGTGTAGGGTTGCTGCACGTACAGGAGCTCGTTGGCGATGTGTTATCTTGTCTACAAGAGTCTCTTGAAGTGTAGGATCCGATCCCGTCAGGGCCGCAATGACGCGCGATGGGGGAGTACTAGGCACTTACCTCTACGAACTTATGCGTGAGCCTGGCCTCTCGACCTAACGACAAATTCGCTGTTAAGTTGTCTCTTCTCCGGTCCAGTCGCGTGTCGTTTGAAGTGACTAATTTGAAGTCTAGTCACCACCGCTAAATCAAGCTGGGGCAAGCGGTTTCAAATCTACTCATTAGTTTGGGGGCTGATGGTGATTGAGTCCCCCGACTGCCTTGTTCTGGACAATCGCTGTTATATAGAAACAAAGATGTGAATTCTACTCGTGACGTTGATACCTCTCAATAGCAAGCTTGTTGCAGGCCAGTCCCCTTCTTTGGCGACCGACCCGTTTATAGGCTCTTCACCGACCGAGCTATCTAATTAATGCAGCTGCCATCAAAGCAAGTTCTGGACAGCCACCGTGGAAGAAGGTCCGACTTACCTCAGTACCTTGCTAACGCCGGAGTGGACCTCGTATCAGCGCCACGCGCTGTAACAAACAATGGAAGTTGCAAATGCTATCATCTTGTTCGACAGTGTGGATCAGGGAAATCTTTCCAGCCCGGCCTCTTACCCAAGGCTGACGCTCAGCGTCGTGCCGCAACGTTCGCGCGACCAAGTTCGAGCCAGGTTGCAAAGTCAGTCAAGATGTACCAGAAACACCTAGTGCCAGAGTCACCCTCGTCGGGCTCCTCGCAACAGCGACGGCGGGGTACATCACCGCCGTCGGCAGATCCGCCATCTGGTCTTGGGAGGAAACGAATTCTGGAAAGCGAATTCTGGATTGGCAAGGGGGGATCGATCACTACATCATCGAGGCAGGGGTCCTTGGCGCCGGGATTGATGAGGGCAAGGGTCTGTGCGGCGAGGAAGAAAGACTTATTCAAAAGGCTATACAAGGCCAGGGGGCGGAGGCCTCGGAGCAACTCGACAAAGATAACACAGTTAGAACACAACCAAAGCTTATGCCCAAGCCTCAATAATACAGTGATAAATCGATGAAGTTTGCAACAGCTATAGATGACGCCGCGACGAAGAAAGACAGACAGGGGACAAGGATCCAGGCGTGGACAAGGATCCAGGCGTGGACAAGGATTTAGGCGTGGACAAGGATTTAGGCGTGGACAAGGATCTTCGCGGCGACGAAAGACAGACGGTCGTTAAGTCGAACGGCTTGCGAACCACTCCAGCTTGCAGTGTCAGATGCGAAGGGACAGTTGGGTCGGTAATATTTACGGCGACCAACGGCCAAGCCAAATTAATCATATGCAACCAGAGATCTCTCAGAAGCTCACGCAGTGGCAGGTCGTCTCCTCGCGGCCCCCGGGGCTTGAGGTTGCCTTTGGTAGGTACTGAAAAAGGCAGACAACAATGTGAGTGACTTCAATATAAAATCCGTCATATCCCGCACGCTTTCTTCATATAACTCACCTCTCAAGAACCACAGACAAAAAGAATTAAGGCATCCCATCCTTCTAGCATTGCCCAGTTCCTCTCCCCTCACCCCTATCGTTCCAACGTCCCAAGTCTTCCACATTTACAGGCCATATCACGCCTTCCTGGAGACAACCATTCTCTCTACTAGTCAACTGCTACCTTCCCGTACTTGATTCTTCCGCTGGACAATATCGATTGCCCCTCATGACTGTCGACTCATCTCCCACTGAGACCGGTCGTGTCCATGACAACTTGCCGTCAGCCCATATGCCTTGACGAAGTCAAACTTTCCGCATCACATACTAACCCAATCATAGGGCTGGCAGAGACTTTTCGATGCTCTTGCCATTCATCTACGACACTTCTTCCTTTTCTGATCGTCAAGTCCAAGTTGCCAACGCCGGTACCATCGTCGCGTCGACCGTCGTGGAGGGTCAAGCACCTGCACGTAGACACACCAGCATCAATGCGGCCGACCCTGCAATGGGAAAGAAGGGAGGCAAGGCTGTTGAAAAGTGATTGGATCTGGAGTATACTTCAAGTATGCCATGGCTTAAGGAGCAGTGTTTCAATGTCGGGGCCGGGGGAGAGGGGGAGTCGGAACGACTGGAGACACCTGAGTTTAGGCCAATAGCTACATGTTCACATTCATCTAATATTGACATTCTGTGATTGGCAAAAGCCGCCCCTGACAGCTCACCTCTTGTCTCAAATAGGAAAGAAGAAACTGAACAAGCAAGGCTGGAGCCTGGGCCGACAGGGCCCTGGTCTAGGCCGCAAGGGACTTCTTGGCTGCGTTTGTGAAAGAGGGGCCTGCTGCGCCTCCTGTGATCTGCAGAATTGATGCTTGGAACGGTGCTGGCTCGGAGTACCTTAGTTGAGATATGAAGTCGTGCTGTTGAAGAGGGATCAAGGAAAAAAAGTCAAGGATGGGCAAGAAAAACAAAGGTGGTGGAGGTAAAGAGTCGCACACCAAGGAAAAAAGACGGGGATTGGCCAACGGGCTTTGTGCACAAGCCATTGTTCCAGTGTGTGTTGTCATCTACCACCTCGTGCACCTCTTATTGAGACTTCAAGAGCCTCTGGTCCCGTCCCTTTTGTTAGTCATCATCGATGACCAGGCCATTGAACAGGGATACAGGGGTCACATCGTCCTCCGGCTTTTTAAGACCTACATTAGACGGGCCCCGTATTTAGCTGCCGCGCGCCGTCCGGGACGGACTCCCCACGCTCGCTTACATCCGCCCGGCTTGTGGGATTGACGGGCCCAAAAACGTGGGCCAAGATAGGTACGTACTCCACTCGAGCGTTGACAGTTGGAACCGTGGGAGCTCAGCGGAGCTACAGACAATCTTGAAGTTGAGGAAATGATAAAAGGCCACCATGTTCCCCCATGATGATCATTGCCGACATTTCAGATCGTGTCTGAAGCGCAAGAAGAGTTTGACTTGCGTGGAGAACCTGGCTTCAAGACTGTCATGTAGATCATGCTCATGTTACTTCGGTAGAGGGATCTCCAATCCCCTTGTCAGCAAATTGACGTCTGAGCATCTGTCATGATCCAGGACCCCTCATTATATTGCGGTTTTGCTGTTTTGAAGATGGAGTAAAGAGAGGAGACAAGCCCCCCTTTCTGGGGAACATGTCATGATGTCAAGAAAAGGCGGAAAGCAGCTCCACCGTCTCAACCGGCCTCCTGGGGAAAGCGGCATGCGAGATGGTCTGTCACGGTGCAATCAGAGACGACGCAATGGATCAATCAATCAAGGTTGCAGGCCTCCTGACTTATCGAGCAGGGCGTGGGATGGAAAGGTACTGTAAGTCCCCCCCACGCCGAGGCAGACGAAGATTGAGCCACCTACTCGGTAAATGTATCTTGTTTCATCGCGCTGCGGCCATTTAGTTCGGATGGGGGAATGAGGTGAGATTCTTGGCTACATGCATCCCGCGATGTCTTGTCCTGGGGATCCTGCACTGCCGGCACTAAGCGAGTGCGTCTCGCAGAGCAAAGACGGCTCCAGGCGAGCTCCTCAACCAATGTCGACACAATTAGGTGTGCAGGCATGGATGCAATTGCGGGCAACGTCATTGAGCAATATTTGAATGCATAGATATGTTGGTAATTGCGTTTCCCCATTTTCTTTTTCTTCATACCCCAAATTTGTGGTCCTGCACCACACATTTGTGATTTCACCGAGCAGAACTTGCAACTGCATGACCGTCGATCCTTGGGCACACCTGACAGGAGAGACGTTTCACACCTAAAAGTTGGGGGAGAATAGACACGCGACATTGGGCTATTACTTCCGGCCACCCGATGTTTTTTCTTAACCGAGGCATTTACGCCATGCCGTCATTCGTCAAATCGTCTCTTTCTTCAGTCGATCGCGCGACCATCCGGAGGCATCGAGCTGGGGAGTAGTTAGAGCCTCAATTGCCAAGTTCAGTATCATCCTACGTCTAGGCTCCACTCGATGCCAGCCTACTGGAACGAACACTGGTTCAGAGAATTCATTTGCTGACATCTGGTCCTTGCCAAAGTGTGAATTATCCTCTTCGTATCAGCAGTCGTTTAGGAAAACATTGCTGTGATGCTCATCTTCGTCCCATGAGCAAGCTGAGGCTCACTGCGAAGCGTTCATCGGCCTGCTTCACTGACAGTCGATCGCTGACTAGAGTCTTTGGAGCCCCTAAGAATCTCGTTATAAAAAGAGATAACTTCACTTTTGGGGTCGCATACTTGCGCCGTAGATGTCACTTGCGGTTATTTCGAGCTGAAGCGGTCAGGTTGGGGTGGGGGTTGCTGCACGCTGCGTTTCTGGATACTCCGCACAATCAACGCGACTTTCCTGTCCGAGTCGATGACCAGCAAGGATCCCCGCAGAGGATCCTTGTCAGTTTAAACCTAAGTTTCTCTTCTCTCATGCCCCTCCATGTTGTTTCCTTCTGGCTTGTATACGGCAGGAGCGCGGCCAAATGTGACGTTCGGGGTACCACTCATGCAAGGCGAGTAGGCCTGCGCAGGGAAGCTTCGGTGAGTTAACTGATTCGCTGACCTGGGGATCAAGGCGGTTGCCTCATATCGTGTCGAGGCTGACCTCTGCACCGATAAAACACTCTGTGCGGACAAGAAATCATGAACAAGGGGGTAATATAAAAACCTTGACGTCTCGCGCGTTTCTTCAAGGTATTTTGCACTGGCATTGGGAATTGGAGCATTTCATCACTCAAGCACTGGGATGTTCTGCCTTATCCTGTAACAGCCTCGCCATTCTGAACTCCCATACCTTCTTCATATTTCTTCACTTCAAGCCATCTTGGACATTCGCAAATTGCCCCTACCTCTCGAGTTTCACCTGCATTTTTTTACTTCTTGTCTTACAAGACAACCCTGACTGCCTCTCATGGATCCCAAGCAAGCTTCCAGTGACGTGGACTCTAACACTGAGGAGGAAGTGCTGTCAGTTCATGTCCCCTGACAAGATCGAATTTTTATCTCTTACCAAACCTTGCCAGGTCTCTCAGTGACTTCTCGGTGTTAACGCAATTCATCTACGACACCTCTTCTTTCTCTGATCGTCTAGTCCAACTCGCTATGGATACAGCCACCGAGGCGACCCGTGCAGAGGACCACGAGCCCGCCCCTAGCCTCGTCGAAGCCGAAAAGACTTTCGAGAACAAGGACACCGAGTCCGTGGGAAATTCACTCTATCCCAAACATCTTCTAATTGAGTAGCGGCAAATGGGGTGGCGTTCCAAGGTGCGGGGAGAAAGGGCGGTAAAGTGCAAGTTGCGTGGACGCACATGAGTTTGTAAACCTAGACACTTCCTTGCTTTCTTTTAAAAAAAAATGATGCGATCTTCTGGAAGCTACCAAAAGGGGAAGGGTACCTTCCATGTGCTGCTGTATGTAGTTAAGCTGTGACAGAAGAAAACGGTTCTACCAGGGCTGTGTGTGAAGGTCGCAATGTGTCATCGGCCACTTGATTCGACCAAGCCTCAACGGCGTCCTACATGCATTCAACCAAATGCGTGTCCTTGGTTTCCCAAAACAGCTGGGTCCGTGCCCGTCACTTGCAAATGATACACTCCCGAGACTCAGGTTCGCCCTCCACTCCAATGGCCTCAAGTCCACGCATTTACAGCCCATGCCAAGCGTATTAAAGCGAGCCTCGTTTCTTATGTGCCGAAAAGAGATGAGAAATATATTCTTCTCATCTGGCTGAGGAATTGTTTTCTCCGTGTTATCGAGTGAGTTAAGGTACTGGCATGGTGATTCCGGAATGTCTGGCAATTAAGCGGTACTCACACAGGTCGAAAGATGAAGTACTGTAAGAAAGGTCAGGTCTTTGCACTGGTGCATGTCATTCTGACAGCGCGCGTGGGGGGCATCTCCTTGCCTGCGCGAGGACTGTCAGAGCATATCGATTCCCACTATTAGAGCACTATCTAACCCTCCACAAAACCATACGAGAACGTGTTAATACCTTATCTGAATTTTTGTCAGCCTAGGAAGAGACTATCATAATTGGTCCAGATCCATCCCAGCTCGGTACATAATGACAGTCCCCGCGCAAGCAAGGAGATGGGGCCTCTTCATCATAGAGTGCCTGATGAAGTCACGGAAAATAAGCTGGTCTCAATTGGGCTAGTTCACACAGCAGAGCTTTGATGGCAGGTTCAACGTCCACACCAGCGGCATAAGCAGTACCACGTTTGAGGCCCACGATCACGCAGCGTGGTCCGCGAACATGGCTTCAGCCACGCTGATACATAGCGTACGAGAAGCACCACTGAAAACAGCTGAATCACATTCGACATTCAGATTGGTCAGTATTGCCCGTTCCTTTGACCTTGTCGCAGCTGAGAGGACCCTCCCACGCCTCCCTCCCTCCCTGAACTCCTCCACTATCCGGGCACGCTATGCAGAGACAGGGGTGAGCGAGATCGGGTCAAAAAGCGACAGGTCACAAATCCACATTTTAACCGTTTATCCACCACGCCCGGTTTCTCCCATGGATCTTGTCCTGAATTTTCCCGCATCTCACCGATCATTTCGCGTGTCTGATGATCTGAGACGCCAGGTCATAATGAGCACTCATATATAACATCTGCAAGGACACATGGACGGCTCCCGCGGAAAACTTGATCGAGGCCCACTGAATGAACGATGTCGATTTCCCCCGCTCCCCACGGCTTCAGCCAAAACGCTCATTAGATTCAGCTTCCAAGCTCTTGGTACTGTTTGTTTTCTCGAGAATCGAAGTCTCATGAGACGAACATATGCATGCACACATATACACAGCGCCAATGCAAGATGCCACTCTGCAGGCGCCTCACCCCAGGGTGTGCCTTAGATCCAGCACCTCCTCCCACGATTTGGCTTCCATGTCTAAGACCACCCCGTTCCCTTAGACATCTCAAATCAGAGAATCGGAATTTGATGCATCATTTCTGACACCGCATGCCAGGAACTCAGCTGCCCCAGTCCGTCCTCTCGGTGAATTGGGCCCCACCATTTCCCAGTTGCCTTAAACTGGGTTGGTGATGCATCGTGTGTAAGCCGCCTTGTAGTACGTCCACAAGCGTGGAGTGAGAAGACTTGTCCCCCCCCCCTCGCTTGGGGTTTGTGTGATATGCCACCTCCCGCATATACACTAGGCATTCTTCAGGAAATGGTTCATCGTCTTTTTGCTTCCGAGATGCACAGCCTAACCGATTCCTCCCTTGCCCTGAGTCTTTGCCTTATTATCTCTGGTTGCCTTAATCTTTTCCAGCATCCCAGTCAGCGTACCGTATTGATGTGTCTCTATAAAGAGCCGCATCTTCTCCATTTGGGAGACTTGACTCCTCTCATTCACAACGGAAGAAAGAGTTTGGTTGTCCCGACGACTGTCTATGGTAACCTATGCCCATCATCTCGCGGCTTGACTCAACGCACAGTCATCCGTTCGCCTCTTGGTTGATCACGAATCCGACGGCCACCTCGCTAGTGCTTGATCACATCAAAGCCATCCTTCCAAAACCCGATCGTCTTTTCCTCTCCCTGCTCGGTTCTCGAAGCGTTCAAGATGGACCCCGCTGGCCCTCCCTCCACCGTGTAAGCCGTCCAGTCTGTCCTGGTGGCTTGATATTAACAGTCTTCAGTCCCGTGCAGGATGACTCGATGCTTGCCTCCTTCATCTACGACACTTCATCACTCCAAGACCGCCTGATCCAGGGCGCCCTCATGGCTAGTACGGCGACAGGCGTACAAAAAGTCTCACGGGCCAAGTCTCGAGAGAAAACGGAGAAGAAGACTTCAGAGATGGCCAGACTGTAAATTGGGGCCATGGTTCTGCGAAGCGAGGATGGACACAATGCAGGGATTGATGTAAAGAGTGGATGAGTTGAGTAGAGGCTGCATCTTGCCTGGGGTTATTCCTCTTTCTTCTGAGAATAACATCACATGACAAGTTGAAGGGATACTGACGAGGGCTCCCCCTAAGGTGGATAGCTATTTTCACCGTGGACGAGGTAGCAAGTCTCTTATTTGTCTGGATGTGAGCTAGTACCATTGTTACTCTCTCGATCAGGCAATATCCTATCACCTTGCGTTCTGCTATTAGTGACCGCCACGTCACCGTCCAGAGCGGCTCCTTCGTCCTTCCTGCAGCATCCCGAGGACGTGGTTTTTGCACTTCACTTCAAGCAACTCTCCGGCTTACCGTAGCGCAGGGTGTACCGCTGTACTGATTCATGGACCTTTTCCCCACCAGTTCCAGCAGCAGCAGGACGCAGATATCCGATCGGAGGCATCGCCCGTCCAATAACCCGGTAGATATCCTAGAACAGATCTTTCAATGGCGTCACAAAGCCCTGTCTTACAAAGTATCCGACGTTGTACGTGTCGTTTTCTGGCTCATAAGGCTATTTGCGTCACTTGCATGCAGCGATCCGAGCACCCGCGCAACACGAAGCTCACGCAGAGGCACCGGATATCTCCGAGTCTGACAACCGAACCGGTAGGCGAGAAGCTGCATATGCGTAGGCATGCGAGTTTATACATTGGCCTACCTAATCGAGATGATGCCTGTGAGGTTGCTCCTTAGTTGCGTGGCCTTGGCACACAACAGTTGTGCCAAAGGGTACACAGTCACAACCAACACGCGAAGGTCGGAACGGCTCCGCGGCAGAGCCTCATATTCCATGCCAATCAGAGTTTTTGTACCTGCTTGACTCCGCTTGAGTGGTTCGGTTGAAAGCTCGACACCGACTGCAAACACAAATCGGCTACGGGTTTTCGGAGCGGTGCGATGAGCCGAAGTCACACAGGATTAATCCTACCAAACGGCAACATAGCTGGAAAATGGACTGTCCTACGATCGAGATGTGAAATTAATCCTAAGGAATAAAGTTTATGCAGTGTTAGATCCGATTGGACGAAGAAACACCGTTTTATTACACGCGTATTCAGAAGTGAGTGGTTCGAACCGTTTCCCTGGTCCTGACACTAACCTGCTACATAACACATAGAGGTATTAAATAGTTAAGCTAGCTTTTTAAACATCTATACCCTATTCTGACGCATATTATACTGTTTTAGATGCTCATGGTTCTTGGCCCCATCCCAGCCAAACCTACAGTCGCATGATGCAGGCTTCAACTCTAAGTTTGTCCAAGGTTTATTCCCCCAACAGGGTATATAAAGGCCAGCCGCCTCAAGATTCCTACTTTTCTTGTGTCTTCCAACAATAACATCTCGGTCAATCCCTCAAGCCCTAACAACCATGGTCAATCCCCCACCCCCATCCTACGAAGTGGCTACCCGTCGGGTTGACCGACATTACTTGACTTGTACGCGGCCAGGAAATGAAGAGATCCTCAAGCCCCCCACGAAGTATCAGGTTGGTACCTTTGCTGTGAGAGGCTGGATTGCCAGCAATGGTGGTACCACCGCCGCGGTCGGCCCTTGGTGGATGGATGGAGAATACCGCCAAACCTGGGAGGTTGCGAAGCCAACTCCAGACCAAACCACAAAACCAACCAAAGATCGAAGTACGAAGGAAAAGGTGATGCAAGCACTCCGTGGCCTACGCGGTCCGCGCCCTGAACAAGAGACGGTATCCATTTTCGCAGTAAACGGAACGCCCATACAGCCAGGCGAGATTGAGTATACCATGGACACGACAGAATCAGGCGATTACGACTGGACTGAGAAATGGGGTTGGAAGGTGAAACTCACGGCATATACCTATGCAAAACATGTGAGATGCTCCCAATGGACAATAAATTACACCATGTTCCTTGACGACCTACCATCCCTGTTGCAAGCGGGCGGCATCTCGTGGAAGGATACCATAACAGACAACGGCGAGGATCTCTTCGAACCAGACTTCCTCCCAAAGCGCCGGTGGAACTGGGTGCGTTCATCTTCCTGTTCGCCAGTATCGGCATCTGGGCAAAAGTGGAAAGCTTGTGTTGAGGAAAGACATTGGAAGAAACCATTTGTTGAACGAGATTTCCGGGACCGCCTATCTGCGGAGACAGTCCAAAGGTAAGCACCTTTCTGCAGGCCTCTCTATACTGAGATATGACTAATCTGTGTATAAAGGGCCAAGATATATCAGAGGACGGGTCCCGGGAGGTACAAGTTCGCCATGATGTATGATCTCGATACGGTCTATGGGAACGACATTTCGGGGCAGCGAGTAGACGTCTGGCATGATGGTCTTGCCGAAGAGTTTGCCCATTTTATACGCCCACTAGTGCCTTATGATCCGTATTCAGCGACTGGGTGTGATGTGTCGGATAAAATGGTCGAGAAGAGGAGAGAGCCGTGAGTCGGGGATCCTACCTCACCCCTAACAGGCAATCCGGTCATCTGAGAATCACGTACAGGCAGCAATAACAGAAGAAGACCCAAGTTCCAATCTATTCACCTTTCGTAAAACACCTTCATTTCACTCTTTCAAGGAGAAATTTCGGGCTGTGAAGTCAGCTAATCCCCGAATACAATCCATGTCAATCAAAGCAACGGCCCCCCTAGTTGTGAGTTCATGACGTGGCTGCATACACTTGATTGAGCCTCACAGCATCTGACATTACATAAACTCAATTCATTTTCACACTGATTGTCTCCTTCTGCGGCTGAAGAGCCATCCGCATCAAATGTAACCTTGGATCATCGTCCACATTCGAGGAACGAACTCCTGGTATCCCGTACCAAGCTTGACAACGAGCCTTACTTGTGCACCTTATCACTTGTGATTCTTTCATCTGCTGACATCTCTAAGAGTCTTTCAGTCACTGAATTCTTGGTGTTCTGCTTGTTGAGTGTTGAGTCAACTGTTGCAGACGAGATGAGTCCTTGTCACACTTACCTATTAGCCAAGTTGGTCACGGTGGGCTTGTGGGCCGGTATCTTCGACAGGTGCGGCAGAAGTGCGACGTACCTGGTGTTTGCAAGAGCCCGCTCCATGTCCACGGAGTTGGCTTCACAGTTGAGAGTGATGCTTGGGAGTGTGGACCACTGGCCAAAAGCTCCTGTTGGTCTTGGAAATTTACACACCTGAGAGTTTGTGTTCCAATATCCTTCCGATGAATGTTATAGTGGTGAATAAGAGTTGTTGTATATGTTGACCTGCAGGTGACCTTTCATCTTCGTGTCCCACCGAAGGGTTGACTCTTAATACAAACCTGCCCTGTAGCACAACCATGACTTGATGAAGTATAATCAGTTGCCAACACCATCATTTCCTATGATTCAATGTTTTTCTACAAGTATAAGAACCGCGCTTTCTTCCTCCCAAGAAGAAACTTATCTCTCCCTGCTCCATTCTCTCCCACAAGCGACCAGACTCAGAGACTTCTTGCTTCTCAGGTCACTTCCTACTCCCATACCAACACTCAACGGCCAAGACCTCGTCGGTTCACGATCATTGTGGTTACTTCTTTTCCACAATTATCAGACACGTTTGGGCCTGACCTAAAAAAACCAGGGCGACAACAGGGCCATTGACCACTTGGCAATCATGGCCGCCGACGAGGCCCCCAGCGACCCGGATCCCACAGGCGACAAGACCCCGCCCGCCATTGAAGAAGAAGAAGAAGAAGAAGAAGAGAAAGCAAACCCAAATAAGGACCACAAAGGTTCCATGCTGCCTCGATTCATCTACGACACCTCTTCAGTTACGGAACGCCTTATGCGACGAGCTGATGCCGACGCCAACAAGGACTCCGCACGCGATGGGAAAACTAGCAAAGGGATTGATCCAAACAACACCAAAGCCAAGGACAGCGACCGCGAAGAATCCAATCAGAAGTGACTTGATCTGTCCTGACTCTTTTTGCCATGGCAAAGTCATTCTCAAACACTACCTTGGCCAATCCTCCTCTCTTCATTTGGTCAACTCAGCTTCTGCACCAGCTCTCATCCCAAGATCAAATATGTTTCTTGCTCCTCCCTTTACATTTGCTTATTGGACTGCCTCCGTCGACCCATTTCCTCAGTCTGCACCACGTCCTGGCTGGGCCCCATTCAAGTCTTCCATTCTCGAGTTCACGCCTACCATGAGCTCCCAAGTTGTTTCTTCCAACACGACCTCCGGCAGCCCGTGCAAGTAAGTCTGATTAAGGCCTGGCCCAGATTTCATCTCATCTTTTTTTGTGTCCAGGGGTGATACCATCTCCATGCTCGGCCCATTCATCTACGACACATCCCTTCTTGGGGATAGTTTGATCCAGGACGCCATTACCGCGTCGACAGGAACAATTACAAGGACAGGAGCAGCAACAACAACGACAACTACACTAGCACCAAAAGAAAAGTCTTCGAACAAATTGCTTTCAGGGCCTTTGAGGGGTCTAGGGGATCTACGGCTGAGCTACAAGTCATTAATACACAGTTGATGGAAGATGCACAGCCATCGCTAGATGCTCAATACCATCCATTTCACCATGTGCAGTCTCAAGTCGATGGCTTCTACTGCCTGAACAATCGGATTAGTTGCTCAAGTAGTAAGGGAGAGAAAAATGCTGAAGCCAGACCGCAACATTCCAGTTATCTTTGATCCAACCCCGTGTCTGATGATAGATGCTGTGTGCCATGCAAAGTAATGTTGTGACAAGGCTGTCAATAGGAGATCACCCAATTAAGTTAATCACCAGAACATAATAGCTACACGAGCAGCTTATAATACGCCTGTCCTTGGGAACATGGCTTGTCCAAGATATGGTACTTGGTCACCCATGCTTGCAGCCTTGCCATGGAGCACTGGGAGAACGACTTCCATATTTCCTTCCGAGACCATCGGCTTCCAGGCAAAGCTATTCTCTCCGCTGCAGTATTTGGATCGTGGAAGGCAGCCTGGGATGCTACGGCGGAGGACTCGCTGTAAAGTGAGGGCTATGCTTGAGCTGTTGGCGAGTGTCACCAGATGACCAAGCCCTTTGTTATCGCGAAAAAAAAAGAGGCGAGGCCACTATCAGGTTCAATAAGTGTTGGTAATTACTGTTGGACACAAAATTGGCTTACGTTCATCGCAAGATTAGCAGAAGTGTGCTAAGGATGTGCAGATTGACTGATGTTGAGATAGGTGCCCAGGTGCCCAGGTGCCCAAGTACTCAAATGCTCAAGTGCTTAGGTGCTCAGGTGCTATTGATAGCCGGAGATGGCTTTTCCATCAATATTCAGTCCTGCCACCAGGCTCTGGAGGACCGTTAGATTTGACTGATCCTGGGTCCAGATGGCGTCTAACAATCACTGCACAAATGTCTCACTGCGAGGCTTCTCGCCCTCGTGTATCCTAGGAGGCTATTTGATCTCAGTTTCAGACACATGTGTCTGCAAGAGAGATACTCCTCACGTCCCATTCAGTGTGAGTACTATGAAGGCGGTGATTTTGTCCAATTTTTGTATCCGGCAAGGTTTTCATTGTATTTCATTAACAGTCAACCGACCAGACTTCCGCTCGTCAACACGTAGTACCACTTACACCAGAGATGTACGGTTTAATTGAATAATGTACTTTTCTGGGCTTGGATACTAGTAACGCGCTTGGTGCAGGTACCTCGCAGCCTCGTAGCCTAGGGGGTGGGCATACAGATTCCACCCCTGGCGGGCTGAAGGCGACAAAAGGCAACCAGACCTCCACGACAGGGATTGTAAGGCAATCTGCAAGAGGCGGCATGTGGCATACTCGGTCAGGGACCAACTGAGTTTGTCGTTTCGTTTCTTTTCTTTTTTGCTCGCTTGTTCGAAACGAAAGCGTGTAAGTCATCGCAATCGCGACCGTACCTAGGCTGCTCTGACTTCTTGTTATGCAGTAAACGTCGACATTCGTCGCATCATCAGACCTGGTATCTTGATCGGTTGAGGGAGGGCTTATGGGCCCCATATCGGATAGTAGATAGAGTATGCGCAAACCCCCACGACTGGAGGACGGTATTGAAAGGACGGCGGCATTGTAAGCTCTCAGGAACTGGTTCACACCTCACATAGCAAGGCAGCTCTGTTGGGAAGTGAATTGGTCCGCCAAATCTGAAATAGCCTCAGATCAAGGTCATGGCTGCCGGCGGAGGCTCCCCCCGAGCCGTAACCTAGCCGCAAGCTGTATGGCGAACTGGTTCGCAAAACGTCAAGAGCCTCATATAGGGTTGGCGAACCAGTTCGCAAGCCCCAGGAGGCCCAAGAAATGAGGCTCTGCGAAAAAAAAAGGCAACCAAAACCCGCTACGTCCTTATGCACTCGGGAGCAATGCCTGCGGGCTTAGACGCAGAAACCATCATCCCATGTCATATTACTTGGCTCAATCGAAGCTCACGGGTCAACCCCCCAGTCTCTGGCCCCTCAATTGGTTATGAGTGTAGGCCCTCTGTGCTCTTATGCTCTCGTCTCTCTTCTCGTCATGTCCTTGAGACGCTGGAATCCCGCTCTCTTCCCGGGGTATAAGAGGCCCGGGGTCCCTCGGTGAAGTTGGATCTCCTTCTTGATAGAATAGCAGACTCAGACCTGATCTTTGCACAAGTTTCTCATCTCTTCACTTTGGTACCACCCCAGTCTCTTCCGCTAGGTCCTGACCTGAGACCAATCCCTCTTTCTTATCGCCATTCGATATCCACTCCTCAAGACACCTCCTCGTGTCCTCTTCTTGAGGCAGCCTTCATCTTGACTCAGACGACACCCGTTCGAGCTTTCGCTATCCAGTCAGTACCAGTCATGAGCTCGTCTACTCCTTCTCCCAACACTACCCCCTCTGAGAGTCAAAGAAAGTAAGTTCCCACAAAGTCTTATTCAAGTGCCATCTCACAATGTTTTCTTAGGGGAGACGATAAGCCGTCAATGCTCAACCCGTACCTCTACGATACCTCCCCTCTCCCGGACCGGCTGGTCATTAGGGCGATGTCACCAAAAACATCTACAGCATCTACAACGGCAACGGCAACGGCAAAGACAACAAAGGGAAAGCCCTCTGATGATAATTTAGCGAAGGACTTGGAAGGGACTCAGGAAATCACGGCCAAACTATGAGCTATGGCCGGGCACCAAGGGTGAGGTGGACAGTTGTCACTGGATGTTCAATACCCTAGACGTCACCTCGTGGGCATTCGGACAACAACTTCCGCTTCTTGTACTACTAGACTTATGTATGAAGAAGGAAAAAGGCAAAAAAAAAGTTGAAACCAAATTACCACGGTCAAGTCGGCTCCATTGCCGCCTGACTTCAACAGCACCTAAAGTGAATTGTCACACGACATGTCTAACCGTACATGCGCCACGTCACAGCCCAACTGACATGGAACTGTTTGTGACACTGCCCTGACTGAAGAAAGCTTGTAGCCACATAGGGCAATGCCCTTAACCCTATAACCTTTGTATATTGTGATCTACTCATCAATATTGACGCCGGCGAAAACTGCCATTCCGTTAGAGATTTCGCAAATGCGATAACTTGATGCATTTGCCACCACTACGCGCATGCGCGCCTACTTCTCCGGACTATCTTCATCGTGTTGTAGCCTGATTTAGCCTTGTTTGAGCCACAACTTTCCCCAGAGTTTGAGTTGCACAAACGCAAGATTGATTCTTCTTGACCAGAGTGTTGGGTCTCGTGACACCTGGGCAAAAGGTGCAGAAACCCCTCTCAGAGGACAGCATAGTCACCTCATCCCCGTAGCCACAGTGCAAGCAGACTCAAGGTGTTACCTCGACAGCAAAATTAACGCAGTATTAATACAAAAGCCTTGAGGGGGCCCACGATGGCTGCATCTCCAAATAGTGCCATAATCACCCAAACCGTTTCATATAGAAGCCAACCATAGATGAGAATGGCCCCCTAATAAAAGAGACTGCTCTGAGTGGACGAAGAAACTCTAATACTAAATGTTGATAGGATACTCCAGCTCATAGCATGAAATAGTGTTGTGCCTTGGCCAAGTTTTTGACAACCATGTACAACACTACCCTAAATCATGGGCTGCCATGGTGGGATGCCTTCTGAGCCAGTTGTATATTAAAATGTCAATCATTGATTCAATTCAAGCGAGAAATCGTTTCCTACAGACGTATTGTTAACCAAGAAGACGGCATAAACGCCTCGAAACACCCAGTATCCATCATGTGATAGTCAGACATGGGAAACCACAATTTAGAGTTGTTGACTATTGGATCAAACAGATTTGTGTAGCAGAGCCTGTTAGGCCTAAATGGACTTCCTTTGCGCCGGAGAGTAGACATACGACGATGGAGTGGTATCGTGGTATGACCTTCTCTGCTTCTCCCTGGGGAGGATGAGGGACTTCCAACACCGTGGTCTATCCATAACAGACTCTGCTCTAATTTCCGATTGGCCGCACAACTAGCTATTGGAGGTCTTACGGCGGTTCTCCAGTAGCCAACAGAAGGCTGAACCGAGGAATAGAAACTCGCGGCCTTCTACCCCGTTCGCTGGACAGTGCATTCGCCACAACAAAAAGAGAGACAAGAGGCAAAAAAACATACAACAGCGGGGATTCGCTGGTCGTCACCGACCCAACTACTAATCCGCCCCTCACTGGCTTATCTATGGGAGAGCGGACGGGATCCCGAGTTCTCCAGTGGGTATGGTCGTATGTGGGAGTTTGGGGTGCGCAATCGGCTTATATCATCAGGCCGGGCACCTTTTCCCTGAGAACAGGAGCCGAGTTAGAACACCGTCATAACTCTGAGTTATTTGCCTTCCAAGCCTGCAAGGGGCATGCTGAAGTAGGGGATGATCAGAACCGGCTTAAAAAGATAGCCCCGGTCTGTCTGTGGAACCCCTGACTAGCGCAACTATTCAAGTTGTGACCATTAAGCTGAGGAATGAGACCTCCGAACGTACAGTCTGAACTCTCACGCAGAGCTGCCGAACTCTGTACCATGAGCCATTACATACACACAGCCGACGCCCAAAGCCCTCTTGGCAATAGGCGCCGCAAGGCAAATGGCCTCCGACCTGGGCATGGCTGTCCTGTCGTCACTTTCAGGGGGCAGCGCCATTGTGAAGGCTCACCTTTTCAATTAGGGCGTAATTATCACACTGCTCACTAGATGAACTGCTGCCAACAAAACTTGGTTTGATATCTCTGAGTTTGATAGAGTCTGTAGCGGTGACTATAGTTCCTCTTGATTCGAGGGCCCCTGAACCTTCCCCCTGTGCAAACATTGCCGCCATTGAGGCCCTCAACACCGCAATGAGGACTTCAGATCCTGATACGACTCGGTCATTCACAGCTACTTCTAGTTCAATTGATTCAGTCAATTGCTCCTGCTAGTATAACAGCCAGCATGACACTCGGCATCTGCACGTAGGCCCATGCAAACAGACCCAATCTCCAATCAGTCCTTCGCCAGCTACCGTGGAGGAGATGCCTTTGGCCCAAGCCGACTTGAAGGCTGCACCATCGGCATTGAGTACATCGTGGTGGATAAGAAGCAGACTGGTCAGCCCGCCCACCCTGGCCCCTGAAGTTCCCTTAGCCACGATCACCTCCGAGGGTATCCTCGTCAGAGAATCCAGCGGCAGGAATAAATCAGCCTTGTATACAGAAC